GGCCTCGAAGATCGCAGCCTTTAGGTTTAACCTTTTTTAGCCTTAATACTCCGAGGTAGAATAACTACCCTTTACTCGATGGTTGAGTGTATCTACCGCTCAACGCCAGTGCGCGCTACGATCTTTGTCTCGCGCAGGCATTTCATGCTGCAGCTGACTTAAATCTTAAGTACTGCTTGATTGCAGGTGACTTCGATTTTTCTGAAGTTCAGTGGTTTCTACCATTCGGTCCTACTAATTTGGAGTACTTACGTGAACCCGTAGATATTAGCATGTGGAGTCAGATAGTAGGTTTTCCAACCCGGGGATCAAAAATACTTGTTCTTGTTTTCTGTAGAGGATGCCAGCCATTGTCAGTGTCATCTTTAGAGTTCAGATCATGCCATAATTATTTATACATAGGAAATTGAAGCTGGACAAACGTTTTCAAAATGTATTTCATTTTTCTATTATTTCTGATCAGCACATATGTGGAATTATTAATCCATCATAATTCCCACTATTGGTTTGAATTCTGCCTATGTTCTGCTGTTAATGTATGTACTGATACAATTTTACAAAGAGTTGGATCCACCCATTTCCCGTTTTTTCCCCGTAAGAAAATACTTAATGTCAAGGATAAAGTCTACTTCGCTATCTACAAAAGGACACTTCCGTTCTGCCCTTGATCCACCTTTAAGCAGGCCAAAAGTTTGTCTGACGTAAAAATCTGGCCGACGAGGACAACTTTACCGAAAAGCCTTCGTTAAATGTCGCGAAACTATTTTACCGCTTGGTTAAAGCTCAGAGAAGAACGCGGCATCCTATAATTCGAGATGATTTAGTAAACGCCATAGCTGATGCTTAGTTGACGGCGATAGTTTCAATGCTTTCTTGTCCAGAGCGTTTGGCGAAAATTCGGTCTCTCCACCTCCGACCGTCCGGGTTTGGACCGATGCTGTTCTCGAAACCATGACTTTTATCCTCTGGGACTTTACATAGCCATTCGACGTTTTCGTCAATCTCGTAGTCCTGGACCAGAAGGAGCTATTGGAGCATTGGAGGTATTGGATGCAACATGATGAAGTTTACGAGATATTGCTAACCACCCGAAAACTGGCACAAAAAAGGATCGAAAGATCTGAAATGAGCGAATTGGAAATATTGCAGAACTAGTAAAAGTACTATTACATTGGTTAGAAATACCAACTTTTTTGGCAGAGTGGGAAATTTAAAAAAAAATCAATAATGGCTGTCACCAAGAAAACTTAAGTTTTAGCCTGTCTATGCAAACATCGAGCACAAGTACAATTAAACATAAAACGGTCCTATGGAGTAGTTTGCACTGAAATATCCGAAAAAACTGTTATTTATAGATTGATAATTGACATACGGCCTTACATTCGAGTACAGATTCTCACACGGTTTTGCGCAACCGGAATGTTTTTTCCTCCGATGTCTACATTGTTTGAGGTTTCTTTGACTAAAACAAACAGTTTTCCTTAATATAACCGACGAGTTTATTACAGGAATAAAAGTATTCATAAGGTCATATGTTGACAGGCGGTTTATAACTTGATAATTTTAAATACAATTGTCAGGTGCAATTGTGCAAATATCACTTTGTGAACAGTAAGAGACGTTTCCTTTCGGAAATTTATTTATACGCACTTCTACTGTTGGATTTAGGCGATTTTCAGATCGTACTTGAAATTGTAGTGAGTACTTCACGAGTTTTAGAAATTTCAATTGATTTCCCCATAAATGTAGACCCTGTTCTTTGTATTAATCGAAACCTTGAAAATAAGACATTTCTTGAATGAAAGAATTCACTTTTCTCTTTCTATTAGACTGCTTTTCACAATATTTGACTACTTATAGGCCCTGTTTTAAGATAGCAAGTGGAAAAAGAATGGCCGAATATATACTACGATTTTGCAAAAAAACTCTTAATCTGACTCTTCTGTTGCTAGATTATCCATTAGCGGAAAATATATTGTACGAAAGGATTTTGCCACATACTTTAGATCTATAAAACTTAAATACATCAAGTACACAGAATTAAGCAGGCAGTTTTCCTTGCTAGAAAGCTTTCTCGGAAAAAATCTATTCATCAGCTAAAAACAACGAAATCACATTGATGCTAAACTAACAACAGCAATTTTGACTTTGCATAAATTACTTCACCTATTATACTTTACAACCCTTGTTACCAGTTCATGCGATTGCTCACTGACTGTAATTTAGACCAGTCAGGTGTCAACTTGTGCGTCCCAAAGCGCATAGTGTCTCATAAAGCGGAACAAATGGTGAACTTCCGAATCCAAGCCGCCACCCACCATTCTCATTTGCATGAATTCAGAGGAAACTCGAGTTTATTCTTTATTTATTCAAAGATCTGCTCAACTGAACAGCGATTAAATTTGCAATATTCCAGTGGGTCCGACCGCAGCCTTCGGATTTTTTAATCGAAAAGTTTATCAATTTTTCGACTAAAGCATGTTATCTTCCCCTTCTTCTCTTTCTCTGTCTCCCTTGGAATCGCATAACACTCAAGTAATGGGGTCTACCCGAGATGGCATTAACCTGGTGGAGAAGTCCCCAAACAACCATTCGGCGTTGATATCCACGGGATGAAAATGGAAGTGGAAAGACAATGTCAGTCCTATTCTTTCCGGAGAGTAGGACATCCATCTGCTCATGGACAGTAGGAGAATAAAGCATTCGATACCTATCGGAAACCAACAGCTATTATTCAGGCACCAGACAACAATCTTAACAAAGTTACTAGTATTCTATAAATCAACCTATAGAAATTTGTCATTCACAAAGTTCAGACAGAGCTGACTTAGCGTATTGGATTACGGTGGTGGTTAGCCTGCTAGCACCAGCCCCACCTTGCCCCCTCAATATGATAAGTGCTGTAATACAATGTTCGATAACATCAAAAGGTACTTGTCGTTGACCTTTCTTCCCGCTAACCCCTATACATATTTTAGACATTAGTCCAAATATCTAACCGGCAAACCATTCTGCCTTGAATTTGACTAGACTGTCTGTCCATCCAAACAACCACCGCCAATTCTTGCTCTGTCAAATAAATACTTTCAAGAGTCGACGTTTGGCAAACTCTTCTTGATTCAAACAACTTTTTAATACGCAACAGTAGCTCACATGCTGTAAAGCTATTTTTTTCTATTTTGCTTCTAGTTGACCTTCGATGGTAGTTTATTTATGGTTAAAACAAACTCAAAATTTCGCACACTATCGACTAAGCACAAAGCGAAAAAAGGAGTTCTCTGAGGAAAGAATGAGCTCAAGTTTTTTCTGGTTTCTAAGGGCACTGTCGGCGCCTAGGAGTTGCTATATCAATAAAACCTTTTTCATAGTGCACATTACAAAATGAAGGCATTTATTTAGAGAATAAAAAGGCCACCAATGTAATTAATAACATCACGTCACATAGCAAAAATTCAAAAAAAAGTGTGTTCGGTGATTGTCAGGGAAGGGGGTATTACGTCCGAGGGCCTGAGGAGTCAAGATCAGTAATCATTTAGGGGATCGTGAAAACCTAAATATAATAAAGTATGGTTACTCTGAAATATTCAGTAGCATGTTTATTCGGGTTAACGTTATGACAGCCAGGGTCGCTTACCGGGTTAAAGGTCAGTACCCATCGAGGTAGTCCGGTTGAATCAACGGAAGACGTTTGTGCTGACGACTGTTCTGATTGACACTCCCATCCTCACCAAGTGCCCGGGACTCCGAAAGGTCTAGAGCACCCGAAAGTTCATCCTGCGAAGTTCCCAGCAGCCGAGCGATGGTCACGAGGCTGGCGTAAAAGGCTCCACGAACTGCGCCATGACGCAAGAGCCAGTTTGTGGGAATACCAGCCGAGGCGGTTGCCGTCCTAGCCACCG